TTTTTTTTTATTACAGTTTGGTTTTCTGTCATGTTCGTAGTAATTCTATTCTTCATAGCACTTACCATAAAGTGCTATTTTTGAAGGTTGTTCAGTAGCTTCACTGTATGAAGGGGAGGTAAACGGCACTTCATGAATAAGTCCCCAAAAGATGACTTGCTGTTTATCATCCGCACGACCCATTTGTGTAAGAGGACATGCTTATTTTTCCAGTAAAGTTAGATCCCATTCTATTGTATTCATCATGCTTTTACCTGCAGAGTAGAGATCACCTCCTCCCCCACCTCCTTGGTAGACACAAGATATCGAGCCATTTCGGGGTTAATGATCCGGTCCTCCTTCTCCCAGCGGACGATAATGGGCTTCTCCCCATGGGCTGTGCAGCTCACCTCCTTCTTTTGACCCTGCGTGGCCAGGGTAGTATTTGGGTAGGATGTTATCATTGCAGGAACTGAAAAACCAAAAGGGACACAACTTATTCAGCAAAGCAGAGCTCTTGTTTTTCCCCACCAAAATACTCAGGGAAGTCGTGCTCAAAGAGATCCTTCTTTGAAATAAAATTAATTCAAGAAACTTCTGAGCAAGAATCATGAGCAAACTGAAGGGAAGGTGGCAAAAAAATGAAACTTGACAAATGAGCCCCAGGCAGACATGGCCAGGTGGCTTTCTCCTCGTGGGATGTTGTTGTCTTCCAGTCCTGTCGAGAGCACACGGGGGAATGGGACATGACCTGTGTCCCCTAGAACCCACAGGAAAATGCTTTTACTTGTTCATTAGTCTAGAAAAGAGACTGAACATTAGGAATTGTGCTCTTCCCTCTTTAATTTTCCACATTTCTAACTCACATTTTCAACAATGGACACGAGACCTTCATGATTATTCAACTTAGGTGGAGTCCTTGCTGTTGCCAGCCAGGCACTGTCACTGCTTCTCATTCTCCCCATCTCCTCCAGTGTTATAAACCTTGCAAACCTTTATCAGTCATTTGGAGACCTCAAAACTGTTCTTTTTCCATAACCCACAGCAGAGAATCTCATCTGCAGTTTACTGAGAAAATGGAAAACTTTGTAAAACTTCTCAAATTCTCTTTCGCCACCTCAAAATTAGACTTCTATTCTGGGCAATGGATGACAAAAGACCCCACACCCATTCCACAAACCACCTAGAAATTCTGGGTAGCATATAATAAATACCTTAAAAGCACATTAAGCTTACAAGAAAGGGAGAGAAAAACCAGGGGCCAAAACCAAAAGTGGATGCTAAAAAGCTGGAGGCAATGTAATGTTGGTGCTTTGACTACATGAGAGGTAGGGAGTTAAAAAGTGAGACCTCCATAGCCAGCCTTCCCCAAGGGCTCTGTATAACCCTTCCCCCACCCCCCCGCGCCCAAATAAAAATAAGAATGTAAGTTCACAAATGTTAAAGGTAGAAGCAAAACACCTTGGCTGGGTTATGAATATAGAAAAAAATGTCTCACTTGAGAACTTATAACTGTCCTGACTCAACCTAGGTCTGCAGTCAAATTCATGCTAAAGAATGAACATGGAGCTGATCCTCATTTGGTAAAAGGCCTGAGGAACCTGGAGAAAATAAACACACTCTGGAAGAACGTGCCCTCCATCCAAGCCCACTGGAATTCTTCCAGATAAAGCCCTGCTGAACATGAGGTCACAGACCAAAACCATAAAACACAAGTGAAAACAATCCACCTTGATTAAGAACCAGCCCTCCAAGCATACCAGATGACAGAATTATCAGATACAGCCTCTAAAATAACTATGCATAAAATGTTTAAAGATAGTTTTAAAACATGATAAAGGAGCAAGATAATTATCAAAAAGGACTAGCAGGATTTTGAAAACTAACCAAAACAAATTTATATTTTTATCTGTTATTTACTTCATTTCCCCAATCACAGGAAGAAAGACTCCCTCTCATTTCTAAGGTC